CTTGGATTTTTCAAAAACTCGTACTCAATAATCAATATTAAATTATTAATGAAAAATATATATAAATGACGGTCGAAGTAATAAAATCTAAGAAACTAAAGTTACTAAACTTTGAATTTCGAAACCGAAAATACTTACTAGTTGTCCAGTTCAAAAACCGCTGTGGAGTAAAAGAACTTTTAAGAGATGAAATATTTGATTTGGGTAATGGGTTCCTTAATTTTGTTTGAAAATTTGGAAGTTTGAAGACTTTTGCTGCTGGGTACGGGTTGGAGAATGGAGAGGAATCGCCATCTTCAACTTGCTTTTTTTTGGGTATGTCAAAAAGGAAGAAAATTGGATTAGCATTAGGTTTCGGTTTGGGTTTAAATGGGTAATAAATTGGGCCAAAAAATTAGAGTTGGTCCATTTACAAACACATTTTGTTGGAATTAAGCTTACTCAATTTTCCTTTTTTGGTTGGGCACAGGCTGCTCAATTAGTTTTATATGGGCTCAACTAAAAAACAAAAAAAAGGAAATGGTGGACTAACGGATTTGGGCTTGGGCTAGGACAGGCTGTAGCCAGGGCTAGCCCGGGCCTGGATCTGTACCTGTGTCCAAGTGTCCATAATATAAGCAGTTTGATCAAATTTTGCTAATAGTATCTAATAGTTGATATAATTTAAGATTTTGCTCCTTGTTTAAGCTCTGGTTATTTAAAAGTCATTGTTCTCCTAACTCATTTTCAACAACAAATTCTCTCCCAATAAAATAATTTGCATGTGAATGTAATTTTTTTTTCTATTTTTTATCGACATATTCTCCAAAATATATTTTTGGGTTACACATTTCCCATAAAACCACTTTTTGAAAGTTTACTCTCAAGCAGGGGGCATAGAAAAACATCCAGATTAATTGACATTTTAAGACACCCCTAGCCCCCTAAAAAATGGGTTAAAAAAAGATGCAGTAAGAGAATTGAAGCAATTGCATTGTTATATGGATGTAAAATATCTTTGCAGCATGTTCATGCTTCACAGATTCAACATTGAGCCCCTGTTTGGTGCAAATTCCAACTCATTTTCAACCATACATTCTCTTGATAAAATAATTTTGAACGGGGATTTAACTTTCCTACTTTTTAAAGATATTTTAAACATTCTAGCTCTTGGACTTCTAGTTTCCTTTATGTGCCAAAATAATAAATTGTTCATTCAAAATAAAATCCAATTATAGTCCTTTATCAAACTACATATGTTAAAAGTAACTCCATTATATCGGAGTGATATAGGAAGCACTTAAATGAATGTTCACAATCAGTAATTTATTAGACTTGGGAGAAATAGAGAGAGAAATGGGAGAGAATAGAGATAATTTATGGGGAGAAAGTATTGAATAATGAATTTTAGTTATTAGTCTAGTGCAATGCATAGATCCTCTAATTATATAGTTTAACCAAACTTAATTTAAGTGGGAAACTAAGGAAATAAAATATAATTTAATCAAACTAGTAAACTATAATAAATTGAGATGAGCTAATCTGAATCAATCTATATTTATTTTTAGGATCATGCTAAATCTACATAAATGTTGACACAATGATTTACACCCATGTGAGTTGGCAGATTTTGGTACATTAATCTTAACAACTCCTCTTTCAACCAGCTGTTAGATTTTTGACACATATGGAAGTTTCAAAAAAGGTGTACACTTTGTGTGTTCAAGTAGTTTAATCCTTGTTTTTAATCTATTAAGAATTCTTAATGTTCTTATCTACATTCCTTACAATGCTCCTAAATCCCTGGGGTCGAAACGTAAATTTATACAATCTAACATCATGTGGTCATGTATGATGGAACCTGGAATTCCATGTGTTACTCCTCTTTTACTTACTGTTCATACTGTGTCAACATTCTTTTATTTCTTTTGTTGATTGTGTTTATTTTTATCTAGTTGGTTGCCCTTGAAGTCATATGGCAGATCAGCAACCCCTTGAAGGTTCAAGTTCGAGTGATGTCTCTGGTGGAAGTTCTCAATCAGTTGTCGAGCTCAATATCAAGACCCTCGATTCCCAGATTTTCAGCTTTCAAGCAGATAAGAGTGTAAGTTCTTATTTTTATGTCTAGGGACATGCGTGAAATTTTTAGGGAAGCATTGGGGCTGTGTCTGCCTGAAATCTTTATCTGTTCAAATGTCTCACTAAATGAGTTTTCTAGAAGATAGATGCCGCTCTCTTGGGCATTTTCATCACTACCCTACCCAATACACCCACACACACAAATTCCAAAAAGAGGAGGAAAGATGGAAAGGAATGCTTGTATACTACATATTGGCTGCAGCATCAGCACTCTCTAACGTGATAGATTTACATGGTTTCAGATGGCAGTAGCAGCATTCAAAGAAAAAATTGCTAGTCAAATCGGTGTCCCCATTGGGCAGCAGCGTCTCATTTTTAGGGGGAAAGTCTTGAAGGATGATCACCCTCTTTCTGAATATAGTATCCTACCAATTGTGACGCCACTGATCTGTATTTCTTTTTGCTCTTGTAGTATAAAGTAAAATATCAACCAGTGGCGATTAAGAAAGAAATCTTTTCTGCCTTCATTTAGTCCGATTGTTCTTTACCCTAAAGAATTTCTACAAATTTTCCATATTTCCATATAACCCTGGTTTTAAGATACATTTGGGTGCCTTTAATTTTTACTTAGGGAATGTGATCCTTCATTTAGTTCCATTTTTTTTTTTGTACCCTTTAGAATTTTTACAAATTTTCCATATGTTTATATAACACTGGTTTTAAGATAGAATTGGGTGCCTTCAATATTTACTTAGGGAATGTGATCTTCCAAGAAATATTTTCATTCCATTTTGGCAAAACCATGAATATATAAATGGTGATAAATAAATCAAAAATTCTTGAAATGGCATTATATCAAAACTAAAGAGCTATTTAATGAACCTTTTACGTTATGCAGACCAAGCAGACCTAAGAAATATCCCCATATATACTTTCAGAAAGCACTCATTGTCTAAGTTAGGATGATGATATATGGTCTTGTCTTTTTTAATTTTTATTTTTTGGAAACAGAGTATCTCAGGATTTGCATGTTACGGAGGAAAGGGTTGGTGACCTTTATCTTGAGAATCATTGAGATGTTTTTTTTGGTATTCTATTTACATATAATTTTATTTTTGATGTAATCATTTTCTGGAGCTTGGTATTACCTGGAAAGGGATTCTCTCCATAATTCTTTTCTGGAAGTTAAAAAAAAATATAAATCAATAAAATATGCATGTTTACGAGAATAAGATGTTCCCTTTGGTTATTATATGTGAGAAATTTATCCAGTTTATCTTGCACACATCATCTTGTACACGTTTATGGAAACTTACCTATGTTCTGTTACCTACATGGCTTCATTCTACTTAACTGCTTAACAGAGGTGGAAAATGGGGATACATTACATTTAGTTGAAAGGCAGCTGCAGCCCTCACCTGTCAGTGGAACTGGAGATACAATGGCAAGTATTGATAACAGAGGTAGTAGCATATATATCATTCATATTCGTTTATGTTACACGATTTTGTCCTGGGTTATTTTCAGATCTTGTTCAAGAGGTTTTATTGATTTTGTTTTTGCTGGTTACAGGCCAAGAATATACTGCTGGTGGCCCTCGCAGCCGCGTTGGACAAATCACACACAGTGTAGTACTGGGTACCTTAAATGTTGGAGAACATGGCTCTGGGGAAGCCGTTGTACCAGATCTGAGTCGGGTATGCTGTTTGATTTTATTAGACTTTCTGGCATGATATTTGGAACTATGTTCACTAGTGTTTTGTGCACTTTTTAGGTCATTGGGGCTGTGTTGAACTCTATTGGAATTGGCAACTTGGCAGGTGGTATACAACCAGGCGTGCAGGTGAGATTTATTTTTTTCAACTGTGGCCACCCTTTAAGTAAGTCTTTTGTGTTTACATTCATATTTTCTTGCGTAAAGGATGTTGAAGTGGATCCTGCAGATACCACATTTATTTATTCTTAATGTTTATATGACAAGTGGAACAGTAGATGCCGTTTAACTGGTAGGATCTGAGATTCCGCTTTTACCATGTACTGCTGCATGGAAGAGTCTGTAGCATGCATAGCTATTTTAGTGGGTTCGACTTCCTATTATAAATGGAGTTGCTCTTGAAATAAGAACTTCTTTAGGAAGGAAAATTTGTATTACCCAAACATGTAAACTAAAATCGATTTGAAAACATCAGTTACTTTTAACTGTTCAAGAATATGCCAATCATGCTCCTTTAATTGGTTACTGATATTGCTGCTTGATTATTCAGGTCTACATGTGCTTTGGTCACCGTTTTATGATGAACGTGGGTTTTTTGCTTCTAGCTGAATATGTTACATTTACGTGATATAGTACATAATTGAATTTGGTGTTCTGCATGCATCTCTTCCTCCAAGGTCTTGTGCTTATAAGTATATTAGCTTGTTCACATTTAAATACAAAATATAAATGATATTAGCAATATGCAATATAACTGAACTTTTCTTTTGGAGTGGAGCGATATCTGCACTTTTAAGTTGTATCTATGTTGACATTTGTTGTTGATTTTGCTTGCTGCTCTTAAAAATTTTTTTGATTGTAATGTGGATGGTGTTATTGGTCTAACGGCCATGCGCAACAGAATTTTGTCGCCATCTGTTTCTCATATTAAGTCGTTCTCTCATTTATTATCTTTTGGGTAATTAATGTGCTTGCTAAATGTCCTATCTTCAGGCATCGCATGGAAATGGGACAGAAGAGTCACAGGTTAATGCTGGTAGTCAGAGTCAGGCTGGAAATCAATCTGCCCCCATGCAGGCAGTACCTGGTCAATTTGCACCTCAAGCAATGCAAATTCCCCTAGGAACAGCAATTGCTCTCCCTTCACTCAATATGGTAGAATTTTCTCCACTTTGTAGCTGTGTTTTTTTAGCTTTTGAAACGTCTGGTTATATCCTAATTTATTATTTTCTCCTTTAATCAGCCAATTCCCAATTCGTTGAACACGCTTACTGAGTTTATGAACCGAATGGAACAGTCATTTACCCAAAATGGTAACACTTTTCACTTCTGCATTTGGTTTTGCTGTGAAAAGTCTCTGAACTTGGCTACTCTGTCTGTGAATCTAGGGTATCAGCCAGACCAGTCACCTAATGTTAGCAGTGATCCACCTACAGTTGAATTGCCTGCAAATTCTCGTGGTGTACCGACGCCTGAGGCACTGAGCACTGTCCTACAACATGCCCAACGTCTTCTTAGTGGCCCTACCATCTCGGCGTTATCTGTAAGCACCTTATTCAAATTTTGCTGGTTCTTTAGTTTTCCTTGTCCTATCTTTCACCTGGATGTGTGTTTGCACGGGTCATTTTTTCGTGAATGACTTACCTCCGTAGCTTGTATGCACACGTTTGTGCTGTGTGGTGTGCTTGAAAAGCGTTGTCCCCATAGGTTTCTGTCCCTGATGCAGAATCGCAGGTTAAGTGGTATTTGTAAGGGGAGTGATTTTCAAGCTTTTCACTTTCCGCTATTCAGGGACCTCCACGTTTATGAGAATTTGAATGAAGAAATTTATGTATAATTGTATGTAAAAGGATGTTTGGTGATTTTTGAATCATTGGGAGTGACGCATCTGAAGCAGTTTCCTTTACAAAGTTTTATTATTGTTTAATATGGAGAAGGAAATTACACTCAGATAATTGACTGAATATGGAGAAAAGGTCTGTTAAGGAAATTACACTCAGATAATTGACTGAATATGGAGAAAAGGTCTGTTGCTTACCTGAATTCTACAATACCCCCAGAAGGTTGAACATATCTTTGTAGATGATTGTGGCTCTATGTCAATGCTATTGAACATGAACTACAAAGAACCAGTACTTGTTTGGCTGATCTGTCCAGATAGTTATGTAATGCTGTGTTTGATATGGGAAGGTTAAAAATAGAACTTGGAGTATGCACAATATCAATATATGCTGACATTTTTGTTGGAATTGTGTTGGAAATTCATTTAAAACAAGTTCTTTGTATGGGTAATTATGCTTAACAATATAGGTAATGCGTTCTCCCGTGTTCCAAGATGGTATTTGACTTTTTAGAGTCCAACTTAACTCAGTTGGTGATGGCTGTGTCTAACAATGTTTGTAATAACTATTTTCTTATTACTCTATCCCTGTGTGGTTATCCATAGTTGACCTCAATTTGAAAACCATCCTGGATAAGTCGTGAGATGGCATAGCTAAACCTTGCGTCTTGATACTTCATAAGAAGAAAAGGTTAAGTTGCTTTTATCCAGTATTTTAGAAATCACTTGCCCAAATGTTAATCTTTGTAGTAGTTTCTTCAGCTTGGAAATTATTTTTTGGATTCCATTTATTTAGCGTCACAAAATCCAAGAATTGATATCATTTAAAAACAAAAGTGTTATCTAAAATTTTACTGGATTGGAAAGCAGAACCATACTGGTCAAAGAAGCAATAAAAAAAAATGATGCTGCATCTCTCCTGTTTTATAATTCTGTTGCACATAATTGTATATTGAGTCAATTTCTTCAGTTAACTAAATAATTGTTTTTCTCATCTTTCCACCTTATTTCTGATGTGTTCATAATCTGCTGCAACTTTTGCAGCGCATTGCGGGTCGTTTAGACCAAGAGGGAGGTTCAACTGATACAATAGTAAGGGGACAAATTCAGTCAGAATCAGTGCAATTAGGCATTGCAATGCAACATTTGGGTGCTCTCCTTTTGGAGCTGGGGAGGACAATTTTGACTCTTCAGATGGGACAGTCTCCTGTATGTTCTTTTTCTCTCTGTCAATATGCTCCCATTTTCTGAATCAAGTTATTAACAGTCTCAGGACGTTCATGCAGGCTGAATATTTTCTGAATGCTGGGCCTGCTGTTTATATATCTCCATCAGGGCCTAACCCTATAATGGTTCAGGTCTGTATATAAATTTTGGTCCTTGTTGGTTGTAAGAGTGTTGAACTTTAGTAAAAATTGTGTGCTAAATATTCAACAATGCCCGAGTATTTATATTTGGGCTACACTAAAGAAATTGGTTTCGTCTGAGCCCAGGAAAATTTTTAAAATATTTTTGATATGATTTTGCATTTCAATTTGAAATTTTTTTTAAACTTATCTCGGCTGATTCTTCTGGCCTTTTTTATGTGATGGGTTTTGACTAATGTGTCTTGCCATTCTTTGTAGAATGAAATTACATACTGTCGCTGTGTAGATTTTAGTCCATGGGTTTGTATTCTCCACAATTCCCTTGATCATACTGTGATGTTAATAGTCATGGGCGTATTTTTTTTTAGTTACCTTGACCATTTTTAAGTATAATCAATCTTTCTTTCTTTTTTTTTTATTAAAAGAATAATCAACCAAATTCTACTTTGCTTTAAGAAATATACTTGAAAATTAATGAGATGCATTTTAAGATATTGTAACGACTGAGTTATTATATGAAATTTAACATACTGAATATTATGAGACGGAGTACTACTTTGTATTGGCTGTGATGGTTACTATTCTAATCTTAATTTGGCTTTCCATGTGCTCATTTGCAGCCTTTTCCTCTCCAAACCAGCTCCCTTTTTGGTGGTCCAGCTGGCTTGCTATCTAATCCTGTGGCTCCGGGTTCAGTTGGGATTGGCAATGCACCGAGGAATGTAAATATACATATTCATACTGGTACGTGGATTATAAGAATGCATAGGTTATTTTGCGGTTCAGATATAGGATACATCATTCTTGCTTGACTTGGTGGAATAACGTTGTAACCAGGGGCATCACTGGCACCTATTGTTTCTAACCTGCGTAGCAGGGCACCTAATGGAGAAGAAATGCTGGGAGAACGTGTTAACGGGACAACTTCCGGTGATTCTGGTCAACCACAAGTTTTGTCTGGTAGAAATGTTACTGCAACTGCTTTCCCATCAGGGTCCACTGCTGTTTCAGTTTCTGGTGCTGTTGGTGGTGGCGGTGTTTTGCAGGCTCCTGATTCTGATTCATTTTCCAATGTAACATCTGAAATCAATTCTGAGCTTAGACGTTTTGCTGCTAATGCGGGCAGTGAAAACCATGGCGCATTAGGTTTGTGACGTGGGTATTTGTTAAATATTTGTAGTAGTGTGTGCTTTACTGAAGTGCTTTTATACCTCTTGAAGGCCAATCAGAAAATTCTACTGGTCGAGAACAGTTTGCCAGTTCTGGTGCTAGAAATGATGATACAAGCAGTCAACAAATGAACTCATCCAGCCGTGGAGTTGGGGAGACCAGTCAGGCTTTATCTGGTCCTTCCATTGTAGGCAATCAGAAGGTACATAATGTGCAAAATTGAAGTGATTTTAATTTTGTTATTACCAACGGTTGTACTAACTTCCTTCTAACTGCCAGACACAGAGCCACCAACCATGTATTAATGAGATGGGAGGTGTCATGAACTTGAAGAGTGAACCTTCCACTAGTTTCGGGGGAGGCTCTCATAACTGGTCAAGTAAATCAGACCTTGCTGTTGAGGGATCTATGAGATCTAATCAGGGTAAAGATATTTCTGATGGTCCTACAGGTGTGCCTATTGGACTTGGTTTTGCAGGCTTGCATCCAAAGGTAGGATTTTGCTTTTGTTTTTAATGTCAATATGTATTTAGATAATGTTTGGGCTCAGATAAAAAAAATAGGTGTACCATTTTAAAAGCCGTGTTTAATGCCAAGGATTCCTGTAAAATTAGCTTTGTTTTCTTTGTATTGCAATATTATTTTGGAAAACGTTCTCTCATTCCTACATGCTTACTGAAAAATTATTTTTCTCTCCTAATTTGCTAGGGTTTCACTCCAACTTTGGTTCTGAATCAGTTTAATATTACAGTTAATAAACATTACGTTTATTCATCTTCTACAAAATCATTTTGGTTTCAAATTTGTGTCTCTCTTATCTTTCTTGTGCTTTCTGTTCATTTTAGTCACTATGTGCATGTAAAATGTGATAGAGACAAAGCAGGCTACAAAGAGCCCAAAGCAAGAATGGTGACGGTGCAACTGCTAGTAATCAGAGCGAACAATCTAGAACAGTTGGACAGCAGGTTTTGCAATCTCTTGCATCACTCTCAACGAGGGGAAATGCAAATACTGCTCCCTTGGAGCAATCACCACAACCTCCCAGGGAAGTAGTGTCGAGTGTGCCAACAGCAGGACAAAATGCTAATGGCCAGGTTGATGTAGCAAGCTCAATGTCTAATATCCTCCAAAGTCCCGCTTTAGATGGTCTACTGGCTGGAGTTTCACAGCAAACTGGTGTTGGTTCCCCGGATATGTTGAGAAATATGTTGCAACAATTTACTCAGAATCCAGCAATGAGGAGTACTGTCAATCAACTTGCTCAACAGATAGACAGCAATGATCTTGGAAGCATGTTTTCAGGTTTGAATAGAGGCCAAGGTGGTGGCTTTGATCTGTCAACAATGATGCAACAAATGATGCCTATTGTTTCTCAGGTTCTCGGCGGTGGCTCCTCTGAACCCCAACCAAATCCTCCATTGGAACCCGGGATGTATAATAGTTTTAGGGAAGAGATAGCACTAACTGAAGAAGAGACTCAGGTTTGTGCCTTAGAATGGATGAAGTTTATGTAAGAAAGAAAGATGAACACATGCACATACGTAAAAGGTGCCTAGTACTTGCATTATTGCAGCATGTTTAACTAAGCTCAGGAAGAAAAAGTAAAAGTCATTATCATTTTGTTTAGAAAAATATGTTTTTGGATATATTACCCTTTTATTCTTTTACTTCTTAAGAAAAAAATACTTAGTGATTAACTCTTACCTTCTTGTTGAAATAAGCCCGACTATTTCCAATTCTGACCATTAAATGTTAATTAATTTAGAAGTTGCTTTATTATTATAAGTATCGTAACTAAACCTTTTATGCTTAGCCAAACAAGCTCTTAGACTTTAACCAAGTGCAAAATGCTGATTTTAACCATTTGCTATGCCTTCCAATGTAAAAATGCTGTGCCTTCTGATTTTAAAGCTATTCCAGACTTTGTCTTGACTTTTCAGTCTTTTAGTGTTGTAAATTGCGTAGTTTTTACTATCCCAGCAAATGTTGCCTTGTTTCTTTCACAGAAAATGTTGGTCAGACAACTGGTTTTAAATAATAGAAATAATTGTTCTGAAAGTAGACACTGGGCTAAGCTTAATTTGGTTTTCTAATGTGTGAAGTAATTTGTGCAGTTCTACATTTTTTTTAATATATAATTTGGGTTTAGTTTCTGAAGCTATGTATAACACTTCTATGCTTACTGTATGCACACGACACTTTTGATTGATTAAGTTCTCTTCTGAATATCTCATCCAACAGATTGAACTTGAACGAGTGGTTCAGAGGATTGAAAACCAAAATTCAGCTGGAGAAATTTTCCACTCTATGGTTGAAAGTGCATTGCATCAATATGGTCGTGGCAGTGCTGATCTTGTAACTGAATTGTGCAGTGAAGGCAGGCTTTCACATGTAAGAATTATGTCTTTCACTATTGGTGAAGTGAAGGGATATTTGCATTTATGTGTCTTTCTTTTTGGTGACTTGCAGGAGTTCATGCAAATGCTCAGTCATGACATTTCCCAAAGACTTAAAGATGAAGCAGGATCATAGGCAAAAGAATTTCTGTTCTTTTACATGTGATATGAATGTACTTCAAGTAGTTGGGTTACTACATGAGTGCAAAATTTCTTAGTACGTTGTGATTTTTGCCTGTGGTTGATTGCTAAAATATAGTTACTAGAATGTNGGGTTACTACATGAGTGCAAAATTTCTTAGTACGTTGTGATTTTTGCCTGTGGTTGATTGCTAAAATATAGTTACTAGAATGTGGTGTTCTCTTTGAGAGTACGAAGAGCTGTGCAGTTGTGGATCAATGAATTGACACAGATTATGGTTCATTTGTAAGAGAATTCAATTGAACTATTGATATCTCCGAGCCGTACATCTTAACCTCTTCGAGGTTCATTTGTTTGCTTTTGAGTTTCCTTTTCCCTGCTATTGAACCTCGACAAATTGAGTTCTAAATCTACTTTATGTTGACGATCTTTCCACGTTCTTGTTGAAAGGCAATTACCTTTCATGTATTCTTGTGGTGGTTATGTTTGGATGTTAGAGATTCATACGCTAAATGTAATACGAAAATATCCATGTTTTGTTTCGCATGAAATTAAATTCATGGTGTGAAACTTTCTAACGAAAGTTAATGGACAGATGTATATTAATCGATATCGTTAGAAATTATTTTAGAAATACAATCAGTATATTGATTTGACAATTTTTTATTTTTTTTGGAAATTTGATTTGACGAAGTATGTTAATCTATAATCTATATCTATGACGTATTGTAAAGTATGGATGTTCGAGAACCATTTTTTGACGATAATAATGTTCTTAATCATATTTTTAAACTTCGCGATTTACCTGTCATTCTATGCTATTAAAAAATTAATTTTATCTTACAACTACTTATTTTTTACAGAAAAAAATTTATTTATTCAAATACGCAGTAACAATGAAAGATAAAGATGCATTCAATTGGAAAGTCGAATTAATAAACGAGGTTGCCAAAGGGTAAAGAACATAATAGATTTAGAAGTATTTACTTTGTTGATCTGTTTAATTCTCCACGTGCAATGTATAAATGGGGAGTCTTTACTTGACGTTCCTCTCCCCCTCATTCAACACTTCCTTCTTTACAAGACAGGAAAATATAACATGAAAAATCATCTAAATGATCGTACATTTTCAACAATCTCGAGTTCCCAGCCATTGCCTTGACAAATAATCGAAAGTAGAAAGTGCATTACGGAAAATATGCCACACAAATATTCAAATTTCTTGAGGAACTTGGGAGTTCGATCTCTTCCATCCAGTTGTAGAGAAAGTAAGCCTGACCACTTGGATACAACTTATAATTATTAGGAAAATATGATACATGAATTTTAGCTTATTTATTAAAAAGAGAGTAATTGAGACTCTAAAATATTCTAACATATATAAATAAGATTTTAATTAAAAAAATTACTCTTAAATTTGTGATTATAATTTATATCAATGCCATTTTAAAAAAAAAAATGTTGTCTTGTGATTACAGCTCGCACTGCTATGTGTACATTAAGATTTATATAATGTCACGTAACATTATATCCTTTATTAGTTTAAAATATAATCAATTTTTTTATCTAATATTTTCCCTCCCACACCATATTTTGTAATCCGTTATGTACATTTTTTTTATGTATAAGTAGCAAAAGAAGAAATTACACCGTAAGTGGTATTTAAAGATGACGCTTCTAAAATCAGGTATTAAGTTTATTTGAGCATAAATTAGGTATTAATGAAACCATATTGTAGTCTCTCTCATATCTCCCTTTCCCATTCTTGCACTGTCATCATCGAAGCTCCGACATAAGGTTGTGCATAATGACGTTTTGATCGAGGCCAGTCACTTATGGGTTTGGGCTTGGAGTGATTCAAATCAATGTTTAGATCGTTGTTGCTGTTTATAGAGGCCCATCTTGAATCAAGGTAGCTGTTTAGAGATATGGGGTTATTCTAGATTTCTGGTTTATTGTTGTTGTTGTTGTTGTTGTTGGCGGTGGCGGTGTTGTGAAAATGATGGTGGTTGAGGTGGTTTTTGGTTGTTTATGAGTGATGATGGAGGTGATTGTTCAAGTGATAATAACAGTAGTGGTTTTGTCAGTTGTATTACATGAGGCATTGGTTTTGGTGAACATGGGATGAGGTGCTTGAAGTGGTGGTTGGATGTGGTTTTTGTGAAGGTTTGACGGCAATTTTGTGGTGATTTTTATGATGTTTTGACGTTGGTGATTAACTTGGTTGTTGGTTGTGGTGGATCAATGTCCATTGTTGGTGATGGCAGAGGTAAGCATGTCATAGTCGATTGAGTTTTTATGACTAAATATCTTGAATATGTGACCTATCAAAGTACACGGGTTATATGTCAAAGTGTATAGGTTACAAGTCACAAATACAAGAAATTTGGTTACAGACCATTTGGACTATGTCACATATTGAAGAGATTTGAAGATTTGTTCGCCTGCCATTGGATCAAGTCAATGACACATGTAACAGGGCACATGTCGAAGTGTATAGATCATAGGTCATGGATTCAAATGATTTGGTCACAAACCATTACTTCAGGTTACATGTCACGAATCCAAGAGATTTGGTTATAGGTCATTGGATCAAGTTATAGGTCATATGTCGAAGTGTATAGGTAGGGATGTCAAACGGGTCGAACGGCTCATCGGCTCGGCTGCTCGGCTCGTCAAAACCCGGCTCGTGGGCGGCTCAGGTTTGTCATTTGCCGAGCAGGGGGCTCAATCCCACGAGCCGAGCCTGCTCGGCTAGTCAAACCCACGAGTGGCTCGTGGGCACACGGCTCGTGGGCTCGTTAAAAAATATTAATTTTTTTTAAAAAAAATGTTGACTCGTGGGCTCGTCAAAAAATATTAATTTTTTTTAAAAAAATGTCCAAAATGTGCAAGTTACCAAAAAAAATTAAAAAAAATCACGAGCTCACGAGTCGCTCGTGAGCTCGGCTGGGCCAGCGAGCTCGTGAGCCAAGCCGAGCTCGTGGGTTAAAGGGTCGAGCCGGCTCGGTCCATTGCCATCATTATGTATAGGTCACGTGTCACAAATTCAAGAAATCTAGTCATATACCATTGATTTTTCTGACCTTAGTTACTCAAGCTGGTCACAAATTCAATTAATCAAATTTTGACGATGAGAATTTAAGTTATTTACTCTATTAAGTGCTTTATAAATTGTATCAAGAGTTGTTTTTCATTTTTCAATTAAAAAACGCTGTAAATTATACAAGTACTGCTCAATCCTAGTCACCAATGAACTCAGTCATCACTGAGCGACGATCAATTTGTTGCTAAATAAGTGGCCGATAGGGTGAAGGTTGGAGGGTGTCGCCAACGAGTGGGATCGTGAGCGGTTGGGATGGGTGGGGGTAGAATAATTTAATTTGATAATATTATTATTTAAAATTAAAAAAATAAAAGTAAGACTTTTACATTTTGAAACTTAATCTCTAATATTTGATTTAGTGCATACTTAATGGTTGAGATGTGATTTTTTCTCGCAGCAAAATTACAAAGTAGGTAGACAAAGTTTGTTGACAAGATGTAGATCATTAATTTATTTTGATTTAAAAATTTGATTTTGAAATGAGTTATATAGATTTTGTCAACTCATATTTTGTCAACCTCATTGACATAGCACCACTCTAAAATAATGACTCGCCTGCTAAAGGTGCGAACCGTCTTATAGAATTACGACCGAGTTAATGACTGGACCGGCTAGGGTTAACAATGCTCTGAACATTCGGAAACAGGAAAACTCTACTGTCTACTGGAAGTTTCCCGCTTAGGTATTCTGCAACAAAGTTTTTATTTTCTTCGTTCAATTATGTTCATTAGATCTCTTGTTTTTATCAGTGAAAATTTTGTTCATGTTAAACACTGGTTAAGGCTTCTTCGATTTTTTTTTTTAAGGTGCGAACCGTCTTATAGAATTACGACCGAGTTAATGACTGGACCGGCTAGGGTTAACAATGCTCTGAACATTCGGAAACAGGAAAACTCTACTGTCTACTGGAAGTTTCCCGCTTAGGTATTCTGCAACAAAGTTTTTATTTTCTTCGTTCAATTATGTTCATTAGATCTCTTGTTTTTATCAGTGAAAATTTTGTTCATGTTAAACACTGGTTAAGGCTTCTTCGATTTTTTTTTTTAATATTTTTATTTAGACTGATTGATATTTAATCATTGATGAATATTTGGATTCCAGAAAATCATTAACGGATATTTGGATTCTATATTCACTTTTCAACTTCTGTTCCCATGGCGGTATGTAGATGCTTACTTCACTTTGAGTGGTTGGTTATTCATTTTCTGTGAACTTGCGATAATAATGTGATTTGATTGTGTAGGTAGAAAGACTTTTCAAAAATGAAGCTACCGAAGAAAAGGGTGAGCGAGCCAGAATGGTGAGTCTTGTATAATATAATAAAATAAATCATTTTGAAACATTTTGTTAATGGCGCTTTATTAGTAGAAAATTAGATATGAATCACGGTGGACTGGCTTGTTTCTAGACTGACAATTGTTTTTTGTGGGTGTTAATATAAGGCCTCCTTTATTGGAGCAATGGCGATTGCTGACTTGGTGAAGACAACCTTGGGGCCTAAGGGGATGGTAAAATTGCTTGTTCTTCTGATTACGTGTATCGATTGTCGATATTTTTCTTTGTTTACTCTCTGTGTAACTTCCCTTTGTAGGATAAAATTTTACAATCAACTGGCAGAGGGCACAGTGTTACAGTTACGAATGATGGTGCCACCATCCTAAAGTCTCTACATATTGACAACCCTGCTGCCAAAGTCCTTGTGGGTATCCTTGATGTTAAGTTATTGTTGTGTTTCTTTGCTTCACCATTTAAGGAATATGATTTTTACCATGAAAAAACTAACTTCTATTGCTATGTGTAATGGTGGATTTTGAAGCTTGAGCTGTTGAATGTTACTTACACGATATAGGTCACAATCCTAAAAATGTTGGTGTTCAAGTGTTATTTTCAAGTATTCAAGTATCTGCAGTCTAAAATTACTCTTGTATGAAAATTGAACATGGCAAGCTGATTTGATTCTTCATTTCTTCTCAAATCAGATTTGTCCAGAAGCTAAAACTATAGTAGTAGTCTGTATAGCTATTGTATTAGCAACTAGCAAGCCTTGATTCTATTGTCAGACATCTCAAAAGTCCAAGATGATGAAGTCGGCGATGGAACCACTTCAGTTGTTGTCTTGGCTGGGGAGCTTTTGAGGGAGGCGGAGAAGCTGGTAAATTCAAAAATCCATCCGATGACAATTATTGCAGGTAAGTTCTATGTTTTTTTTTAATGATCTTATTTCTGATTTCACCTTTCTTACTCATTATTTCGTGTGTGCTATTTCCATAGTGGTGGCAGGCACTTCAGGTTCTATAAACTTCATCAATATGAAAGATAAACTAGCACAAGTTTAATATTGATATGATAATTACAGTTTCATTTCCCCTGCTTTGTATCTCTCTCTTTAATCACCTTTCTACTTTTGCAATGATGGAATTAGTGAGTTTCTTGGAGTTGACAACAAATTTCTTTGCACAACATTAGGGATAGTTGATTCTTTGTTAACTGTTGGTATGTTTATTTATGCGATATAAATATGATATCCTGTCATTCTTAGATCCTATGAAGGTATATTTGATTGGAATTGTTCTAAGTTTTTTGAAATAATTACTATATACACAACATTTTCAGGATATCGTATGGCAGCTGAAGCTGCTAGGAACGCGTTGCTGGAAAAGGTTATGGATAATAAACAGGATGCTGGTAATTAGTATCTACTTCTCATTCTCACTTTTGAATTTGGTATTTGCCCCTGATATAAGTATCATGATTGCTGGTTCATCAATTCTGATAGCTTGTTGCTCCCTATTTAACTCAAATCTGTTTCATAATCATATGTTTTTTTAATTCATAAAAGTCTATTCCATATGATTGTACACTTACTAGAATAATTCTCCATTTGGCCTATCTAGAAGTTTTCGTTTCTTGATGTAATGCTATTATCCTTTACATTTTCTAACTGGCTTCACATGGAAATCACCGGCAGATTGCATTGTTAAGTGGAAAATGATTCACTATACTTTTAAGCAATTAATTGGTCTAAAATGAAAAGGTGATAAGTTTTATAAACTATGGATTTAACTTGAATGTATGATTTATTAGTTGAATTTTGATATGATGGCATTGACATGTCTAATGTTCATCCTTGGTGATCTTGCAGATAAATTCAAAGAAGACTTATTAAAGATAGCAATGACCACTTTGAGTTCCAAAATTCTCTCTCAGGACAAAGAACATTTTGCAACACTAGCTGTCGATGCAGTTATGAGGCTAAAGGTAAAGTTATTTGCTCTTAGTTACTTGTGAATTTGATGCCTTGAGTGTGTTACATAGGCTATTTTGTCATACCTGTCTATTCTTGTCTCCTGGTAATAGTAATTTAGCTATTAAAAATGGTTGGAAACTTCTGAAACTGATGAAAAGATTTTAGCTGCATTTACTGATGGATGCTGGACAACTTTGTGAGTTCTAAATTTGTTCTGATCAAATGAATACCAATATACCATTGCATAACATCAGTGTGGGACATCTTGGGTGTGATTCTCTTCAAGCATTTACAGACACTAAGGGTCCCTTTGATTGTAAAGATGAAATTTGGGTGGAAAAAACGAATTCCGGGGAATTGAATTGCCTAGAAATTGTTTTTCTGAGAATTGTAAATTATTGTGTTTGATTGGTATAATTTTTCACGTGAAAAATGTTGAAATAAAAGTGTTTTTTGGTGTTTGTTTGGCTTTGTTTTACATGAAATTTGTCAATTGCCTTCCAATGTAAAAATGCTGTGCCTTCTGATTTTAAAGCTATTCCAGACTTTGTCTTGACTTTTCAGTCTTTTAGTGTTGTAAATTGCGTAGTTTTTACTATCCCAGCAAATGTTGCCTTGTTTCTTTCACAGAAAATGTTGGTCAGACAACTGGTTTTAAATAATAGAAGTAATTGTTCTGAAAGTAGACACTGGGCTAAGCTTAATTTGGTTTTCTAATGTGTGAAGTAATTTGTGCAGTTCTACATTTTTTTTAATATATAATTTGGGTTTAGTTTCTGAAGCTATGTATAACACTTCTATGCTTACTGTATGCACACGACACTTTTGATTGATTAAGTTCTCTTCTGAATATCTCATCCAACAGATTGAACTTGAACGAGTGGTTCAGAGGATTGAAAACCAAAATTCAGCTGGAGAAATTTTCCACTCTATGGTTGAAAGTGCATTGCATCAATATGGTCGTGGCAGTGCTGATCTTGTAACTGAATTGTGCAGTGAAGGCAGGCTTTCACATGTAAGAATTATGTCTTTCACTATTGGTGAAGTGAAGGGATATTTGCATTTATGTGTCTTTCTTTTTGGTGACTTGCAGGAGTTCATGCAAATGCTCAGTCATGACATTTCCCAAAGACTTAAAGATGAAGCAGGATCATAGGCAAAAGAATTTCTGTTCTTTTACATGTGATATGAATGTACTTCAAGTAGTTGGGTTACTACATGAGTGCAAAATTTCTTAGTACGTTGTGATTTTTGCCTGTGGTTGATTGCTAAAATATAGTTACTAGAATGTTGTGTTCTCTTTGAGAGTACGAAGAGCTGTGCAGTTGTGGATCAATGAATTGACACAGATCATGGTTCATTTGTAAGAGAATTCAATTGGACTATTGATATCTCCGAGCCGTACATCTTAACCTCTTCGAGGTTCATTTGCTTGCTTTTGAGTTTCCTTTTCCCTGCTATTGAACCTCGACAAATTGAGTTCTAAATCTGCTTTATGTTGATAATCTTTCCACGATCTTGTTGAAAGGCGATGCCTTTCATAAATTTTTGTGGTGGTTATGTTTGGATGTTAGAGATTCATACGCTAAATGTAATACGAAAATATCCATGTTTTGTTTCGCATGAAATTAAATTCATGGTGTGAAACTTTCTAACGAAAGTTAATGGACAGATGTATATTAATCGATATCGTTAGAAATTATTTTAGAAATACAATCAGTATATTGATATGACAATTTTTTATTTTTTTTGGAAATTTGATTTGACGAAGTATGTTAATCTATAATCTATATCTATGACGTATAGTAAAGTATGGATGTTCGAGAACCATTTTTTGGCGATAATAATGTTCTTAATCATATTTTTAAACTTCGCGATTTACCTGTCATTCTATGCTATTAAAAAATTAATTTTATCTTACAACTACTTATTTTTTACAGAAAAAAATTTATTTATTCAAATACGCAGTAACAATGAAAGATAAAGATGCATTCAATTGGAAAGTCGAATTAATAAACGAGGTTGCCAAAGGGTAAAGAACATAATAGATTTAGAAGTATTTACTTTGTTGATCTGTTTAATTCTCCACGTGCAATGTATAAATGGGGAGTCTTTACTTGACGTTCCTCTCCCCCTCATTCAACACTTCCTTCTTTACAAGACAGGAAAATATAACATGAAAAATCATCTAAATGATCGTACATTTTCAACAATCTCGAGTTCCCAGCCATTGCCTTGACAAATAATCGAAAGTAGAAAGTGCATTACGGAAAATATGCCACACAAATATTCAAATTTCTTGAGGAACTTGGGAGTTCGATCTCTTCCATCCAGTTGTAGAGAAAGTAAGCCTGACCACTTGGATACAACTTATAATTATTAGGAAAATATGATACATGAATTTTAGCTTATTTATTAAAAAGAGAGTAATTGAGACTCTAAAATATTCTAACATATATAAATAAGATTTTAATTAAAAAAAATTACTCTTAAATTTGTGATTATAATTTATATCAATGCCATTTAAAAAAAAAAAAATGTTGTCTTGTGATTACAGCTCGCACTGCTATGTGTACATTAAGATTTATATAATGTCACGTAACATTATATCCTTTATTAGTTTAAAATATAATCAATTTTTTTTATCTAATATTTTCCCTCCCACACCATATTTTGTAATCCGTTATGTACATTTTTTTTATGTACAAGTAGCAAAAGAAGAAATTACACCGTAAGTGGTATTTAAAGATGACGCTTCTAAAATCAGGTATTAAGTTTATTTGAGCATAAATTAGGTATTAATGAAACCATATTGTAGTCTCTCTCATCTCTCCCTTTCCCATTCTTGCACTGTCGTCATCGAAGCTCCGACATAAGGTTGTGCATAACGACGTTTTGATCGAGGCCAGTCACTTATGGGTTTGGGCTTGGAGTGATTCAAATCAATGTTTAGATCGTTGTTGCTGTTTATAGAGGCCCATCTTGAATCAAGGTAGCTGTTTAGAGATATGGGGTTATTCTAGATTTCTGGTTTATTATTATTGTTGTTGTTGTTGGCGGTGGTGGTGTTGTGAAAATGATGGTGGTTGAGGTGGTTTTTGGTTGTTTATGAGTGATGATGGAGGTGATTGTTCAAGTGATAATAACAGTAGTGGTTTTGTCAGTTGTATTACATGAGGCATTGGTTTTGGTGAACATGGGATGAGGTGCTTGAAGTGGTGGTTGGATGTGGTTTTTGTGAAGGTTTGACAGCAATTTTGTGGTGATTTTTATGATGTTTTGACGTTGGTGATTAACTTGGTTGTTGGTTGTGGTGGATCAATGTCCATTGTTGGTGATGGCAGAGGTAAGCATGTCATAGTCGATTGAGTTTCTATGACTAAATATCTTGAATATGTGACCTATCAAAGTACACGGGTTATATGTCAAAGTGTATAGGTTACAAGTCACAAATACCAGAAATTTGGTTACAGACCATTTGGACTATGTCACATATTGAAGAGATTTGAAGATTTGTTCGCCTGCCATTGGATCAAGTCAATGACACATGTAACAGGGCACACGTCGAAGTGTATAGATCATAGGTCATGGATTCAAATGATTTGGTCACAAACCATTACTTCAGGTTACATGTCACGAATCCAAGAGATTTGGTTATAGGTCATTGGATCAAGTTATAGGTCATATGTCGAAGTGTATAGGTAGGGATGTCAAACGGGTCGAACGGCTCATCGGCTCGGCTGCTCGGCTCGTCAAAACCCGGCTCGTGGGCGGCTCAGGTTTGTCATTTGCCGAGCAGGGGGCTCAATCCCACGAGCCGAGCCTGCTCGGCTAGTCAAACCCACGAGTGGCTCGTGGGCACACGGCTCGTGGGCTCGTTAAAAAATATTAATTTTTTTTAAAAAAAATGTTGACTCGTGGGCTCGTCAAAAAATATTAATTTTTTTTAAAAAAATGTCCAAAATGTGCAAGTTACCAAAAAAAATTAAAAAGAATTACGAGCTCACGAGTTGCTCGTGAGCTCGGCTGGGCCAGCGAGCTCGTGAGCCAAGCCGAGCTCGTGGGTTAAAGGGTCGAGCCGGCTCGGTCCATTGCCATCATTATGTATAGGTCACGTGTCACAAATTCAAGAAATCTAGTCATATACCATTGATTTTTCTGACCTTAGTTACTCAAGTTGGTCACAAATTCAATTAATCAAATTTTGACGATGAGAATTTAAGTTATTTACTCTATTAAGTGCTTTATAAATTGTATCAAGAGTTGTTTTTTATTTTTCAATTAAAAAACGCTGTAAATTATACAAGTACTGCTCAATCCTAGTCACCAATGAACTCAGTCGTCACTGAGCGACGATCAATTTGTTGCTAAATAAGTGGCCGATAGGGTGAAGGTTGGAGGGTGTCGCCAACGAGTGGGATCGTGAGCGGTTGGGATGGGTGGGGGTAGAATAATTTAATTTGATAATATTATTATTTAAAATTAAAAAAATAAAAGTAAGACTTTTACATTTTGAAACTTAATCTCTAATATTTGATTTAGTGCATACTTAATGGTTGAGATGTGATTTTTTCTCACAGCAAAATTACAAAGTAGGTAGACAAAGTTTGTTGACAAAATAGATGTTGACAAGATGTAGATCATTAATTTATTTTGATTTCAAAATTTGATTTTGAAATGAGTTATATAGATCTTGTCAACTCATATTTTGTCAACCTCAAAGACATAGCACCACTCTAAAATAATGACTCGCCTGCTAAAGGTGCGAACCGTCTTATAGAATTACGACCGAGTTAATGACTGGACCGGCTAGGGTTAACAATGCTCTGAACATTCGGAAACAGGAAAACTCTACTGTCTACTGGAAGTTTCCCGCTTAGGTATTCTGCAACAAAGTTTTTATTTTCTTCGTTCAATTATGTTCATTAGATCTCTTGTTTTTATCAGTGAAAATTTTGTTCATGTTAAACACTGGTTAAGGCTTCTTCGATTTTTTTTTTTAATATTTTTATTTAGACTGATTGATATTTAATCATTGATGAATATTTGGATTCCAGAAAATCATTAACGGATATTTGGATTCTATATTCACTTTTCAACTTCTGTTCCCATGGCGGTATGTAGATGCTTACTTCACTTTGAGTGGTTGGTTATTCATTTTCTGTGAACTTGCGATAATAATGTGATTTGATTGTGTAGGTAGAAAGACTTTTCAAAAATGAAGCTACCGAAGAAAAGGGTGAGCGAGCCAGAATGGTGAGTCTTGTATAATATAATAAAATAAATCATTTTGAAACATTTTGTTAATGGCGCTTTATTAGTAGAAAATTAGATATGAATCACGGTGGACTGGCTTGTTTCTAGACTGACAATTGTTTTTTGTGGGTGTTAATATAAGGCCTCCTTTATTGGAGCAATGGCGATTGCTGACTTGGTGAAGACAACCTTGGGGCCTAAGGGGATGGTAAAATTGCTTGTTCTTCTGATTACGTGTATCGATTGTCGATATTTTTCTTTGTTTACTCTCTGTGTAACTTCCCTTTGTAGGATAAAATTTTACAATCAACTGGCAGAGGGCACAGTGTTACAGTTACGAATGATGGTGCCACCATCCTAAAGTCTCTACATATTGACAACCCTGCTGCCAAAGTCCTTGTGGGTATCCTTGATGTTAAGTTATTGTTGTGTTTCTTTGCTTCACCATTTAAGGAATATGATTTTTACCATGAAAAAACTAACTTCTATTGCTATGTGTAATGGTGGATTTTGAAGCTTGAGCTGTTGAATGTTACTTACACGATATAGGTCACAATCCTAAAAATGTTGGTGTTCAAGTGTTATTTTCAAGTATTCAAGTATCTGCAGTCTAAAATTACTCTTGTATGAAAATTGAACATGGCAAGCTGATTTGATTCTTCATTTCTTCTCAAATCAGATTTGTCCAGAAGCTAAAACTATAGTAGTAGTCTGTATAGCTATTGTATTAGCAACTAGCAAGCCTTGATTCTATTGTCAGACATCTCAAAAGTCCAAGATGATGAAGTCGGCGATGGAACCACTTCAGTTGTTGTCTTGGCTGGGGAGCTTTTGAGGGAGGCGGAGAAGCTGGTAAATTCAAAAATCCATCCGATGACAATTATTGCAGGTAAGTTCTATGTTTTTTTTTAATGATCTTATTTCTGATTTCACCTTTCTTACTCATTATTTCGTGTGTGCTATTTCCATAGTGGTGGCAGGCACTTCAGGTTCTATAAACTTCATCAATATGAAAGATAAACTAGCACAAGTTTAATATTGATATGATAATTACAGTTTCATTTCCCCTGCTTTGTATCTCTCTCTTTAATCACCTTTCTACTTTTGCAATGATGGAATTAGTGAGTTTCTTGGAGTTGACAACAAATTTCTTTGCACAACATTAGGGATAGTTGATTCTTTGTTAACTGTTGGTATGTTTATTTATGCGATATAAATATGATATCCTGTCATTCTTAGATCCTATGAAGGTATATTTGATTGGAATTGTTCTAAGTTTTTTGAAATAATTACTATATACACAACATTTTCAGGATATCGTATGGCAGCTGAAGCTGCTAGGAACGCGTTGCTGGAAAAGGTTATGGATAATAAACAGGATGCTGGTAATTAGTATCTACTTCTCATTCTCACTTTTGAATTTGGTATTTGCCCCTGATATAAGTATCATGATTGCTGGTTCATCAATTCTGATAGCTTGTTGCTCCCTATTTAACTCAAATCTGTTTCATAATCATATGTTTTTTTAATTCATAAAAGTCTATTCCATATGATTGTACACTTACTAGAATAATTCTCCATTTGGCCTATCTAGAAGTTTTCGTTTCTTGATGTAATGCTATTATCCTTTACATTTTCTAACTGGCTTCACATGGAAATCACCGGCAGATTGCATTGTTAAGTGGAAAATGATTCACTATACTTTTAAGCAATTAATTGGTCTAAAATGAAAAGGTGATAAGTTTTATAAACTATGGATTTAACTTGAATGTATGATTTATTAGTTGAATTTTGATATGATGGCATTGACATGTCTAATGTTCATCCTTGGTGATCTTGCAGATAAATTCAAAGAAGACTTATTAAAGATAGCAATGACCACTTTGAGTTCCAAAATTCTCTCTCAGGACAAAGAACATTTTGCAACACTAGCTGTCGATGCAGTTATGAGGCTAAAGGTAAAGTTATTTGCTCTTAGTTACTTGTGAATTTGATGCCTTGAGTGTGTTACATAGGCTATTTTGTCATACCTGTCTATTCTTGTCTCCTGGTAATAGTAATTTAGCTATTAAAAATGGTTGGAAACTTCTGAAACTGATGAAAAGATTTTAGCTGCATTTACTGATGGATGCTGGACAACTTTGTGAGTTCTAAATTTGTTCTGATCAAATGAATACCAATATACCATTGCATAACATCAGTGTGGGACATCTTGGGTGTGATTCTCTTCAAGCATTTACAGACACTAAGGGTCCCTTTGATTGTAAAGATGAAATTTGGGTGGAAAAAACGAATTCCGGGGAATTGAATTGCCTAGAAATTGTTTTTCTGAGAATTGTAAATTATTGTGTTTGATTGGTATAATTTTTCACGTGAAAAATGTTGAAATAAAAGTGTTTTTTGGTGTTTGTTTGGCTTTGTTTTACATGAAATTTGTCAATCAAAGGGATATATTTTTTTGGTATTGGGGAGGAAATTTGTTTCCATTGTCAAAAAAATAAAAAATAAAAAAAAATTCAAAAAAATCATTGGTGTTCGTTTGACTTTGTTTTACATGGAAATTTTCAGTTAAAGGGAAATATTTTTTTACAATAATTCTCCGAATTTGTTTCCATTGCCAACAAAAATAAATAAATAAATAAACGAAAAAAAATGCTTCAGTAAACTGGGAAAATGAATTCTCACCATCTCCAAAACATGGAAAATGTCTGTGGCATGAAAATGTGGAAAATGAGTTCCAAGGAAATTTGTGCCAATCAAACACCCAAAAAATGAAAAGATGGAATTGCAATTCCATTTTCCACGGAATTTCCTACCTATCAAATGAGGCCTAACATATTTTGTGGATCATATGTCCGCACAAAGCTATCTGGTCTGTGTAACAAATGATGCAAACGAAGTGCTTTGGAACTCTGTTGCAACATCTGAATCCCCACTATTAACCTTTACTTTTGAAGTTTGGAGTGGACAAAGGTGATAATTTGAAAGTTCAGGGACTATACTGCAAATTTTGAAAATATTAGTTTTCTAGTGTCATAAACAGTAGCCAAATTATGGGTTTTATGTGAGAGAAAACATACTTTTTTGACCGAGGAAGAAAGGAAGGAAAGAAATCAAAAGAAAATTAGGGAAAAATTGCAATTTTTATCTTTCTAATGATTAGCTTATAAATGTAATGAAATATGTGTGTAAAGGCGTGTTAAAGAAAATATATTCTTGTAATTTAATTTATAAGTTAAGGCTTTGTTTGATTCTCATTTTTTTTCAAAATACATTTTTCTCACTTCTTTTTAACCACGCATTCTTCATTAAAAGAATATTACATGTAAATAAAAAACTTTTCCTTATTTTTCAACCGCACGTTCTCCATCATTCTACTATTCTAAAATTCATTTTTCATAAAAACGGGGCTCAAATACCCTCTAAGTTATGCATATTTTATGGAAAAGTCTAAATGGTTAATTTTGGTTAAGGAAACATATATTGTGCATGTCAATGTGTATGTAGTAGAAAATTATATATGCATTTTGAAGGGGATGATTTACTTCTTTCAATTGTTAATTGGAAATTACAGGGAAGCACAAATCTGGAGTCCATTCAGATTATTAAGAAACCAGGAGGTTCATTAAAAGATTCATTTCTAGACGAGGGGTAGGCCATCTGAACTTTTTCGATCTAACATAAGTGATTTCATTTTACAATCTTTATGCTATTCTACCCATGCGTACCTTGTTTTCTCGTGTAAATTGTCTTTCTGAAAGCTTCAAGACTAAGTTATTTAAGGAATGAGAATCGGAAGAATCTGCCTTTAGTTGCTGAAATTAATGACAACATGATTCAGATTAGTTAACTGTGATTTTTTTGAGCGAAGAAATCTGAAATTTATTCTATACACGAGATGAAGAGAGAACTAGTTGACCCGACTGAGTTGATGACATGCTGTGTCAATATTCTTTAGCTGTTGGTTTGAGCTTCGAACTTCTAGGTTTTGATGCAATCATTGAAGAAAGTATAGGCAACAGTGGAAGGTTTGCTCGTGTGCGTGCACGCGCGCACAATGATTCTGGCTGACGTTAATTGGAATCACCCTCAAATTTCTGGGTACAGCAGTAAGATACTTCTTGAAAGTGTTATTTAGGCCAGGAAATTGTTTCAAGTATATTGTTTTTATGTTTACAATAGCATTTTTGTATTTGACCTTAAATAAACTTGAATTGCTTGTGGTCTTTGATCTAATTCACAATGATACAAGCCCAAATTTCCCGAAAAGGCCTTTATCAAATTCTTGAAGATCACAATTGGCCTATTTCTTTTATTGTTCTTTTCCTGATTCTCTAACAAGGTTTTATGACTTTTATCTACCTTTGTTGAATTTGTTGTGATTAGCCATCATTTTGTGCCTGCAATCGATTTTTCAATTGGTATTTCCTTTTCATACAGATTTATTTTAGACAAGAAAATTGGTGTTGGCCAACCAAAACGGATTGAAAGTGCAAAGATCTTGGTGGCAAATACTGCTATGGATACAGATAAAGTGAAGATTTATGGGGCACGGGTTCGTGTTGATTCGATGGCTAAGGTTGCTGACATTGAAGGGGCTGAAAAGGAAAAGATGAGGGAGAAGGTGCAAAAGATAATTAACCATGGGATAAATTGTTTTGTTAATCGTCAGTTGATTTACAATTTCCCTGAAGAATTATTTGCTGATGCTGGAGTACTTGCAATAGAGCATGCTGATTTTGATGGTATTGAGAGGCTGGCTCTTGTTACTGGTGGTGAGATTGCATCAACTTTTGATAATCCAGAGTCAGTTAAGCTTGGACACTGCAGGCTCATTGAGGAAATAATGATTGGGGAGGACAAGCTGATCCACTTTTCTGGGGTTGAAATGGGTCAGGCGTGTACTATTGTCTTGAGAGGGGCAAGGTACTTTTCTTCATGCTGACTATATTTTTCATGATCATAGGAAATGCTTTTTTGATACATTTATGACATGGATCATATTATTGTTACCATGTCGCATAGTCCTTTCTTGAACCAGGTGTTCAAAGGATAAAAATAAAGTCACTTCTTGAATCAAGTAAAACAAGTTGTTTTTTGACTCTCCGTTGTGACTGCTTCACCTTTCTTCTTTTATTTGATAGTTTATTTTGATTCTTGTCCACAATCATTGTCTTTTAATGATTTAAAATTTATGGATACAGGTTGCTCACTTCTCTGTTGTACTAGATCAAATCGACATTACCATGATCCGAAGTGATTACATGGTTTAACCTTTTTGTAAATATTACTTTGGAGGGTAAATGTTATTGATAGTTTAGTTCCTGGGAACTTGATAGCACGTTTGGCATCATGTGAAGTATGGCTATGTTATAGAAGGCGATGTTTCCATGTGCTTTTAGGTAGTGTTCTAAAAAGTGTAAAGCGTTTGTAGACAGCAAGATCAAGCTTTTACCAGCTTAAGCTGGCCTGGGCGAATCGTAAAAAAGCTTAAAAAGTGTGGCTAGGCGAAAACGTGAAGCTTTGCACTTATGCGTTACCTATGCGAGTTTTCTAGAACACTACTTTTAGGTGCATGCTTAATGGCAAGCATTTCGGTAATCAATATTTTTAGATTAATGATATTTTGTCATCTTGATAATGGATAATCACCATATGTGATCCAACACGGAGATATTAAATGATATGTCCAACTAAGCCCCCCGTTTGAGTCCCATTAAATTTATAATACATTTTTCTTTTTCTTCTTTTTAACCACAGATTCTTCAATAAAATAATATTAACATATAAAACCAAAAACTTTTCTTTCTTTTTCAACCACACATTCTTCCAAAAAACTATTCCAAAAATTATAACATTACATAATGGGGGCCAAACGGGGTCTAAATGCAAGGACATGGAACCCATGTAATTGGACCTGTTATTCAATAACATCTAAACATGAATCCATCATCACGATGATAAGTAGCATTACTCATTTTTAGTATTGATGTGGAATCTATTGATGTTTTCAATTATTTCTTTTCATCGTTGAATGCATTTACATGCATTCTGTGACTGTAATTACCCACTTGAGTAGTACTATTTGGTCAATCGAGTGACAGTATATTGTGTTCAGCCTTTTTTCAGTTTGTTACTCTTGTATTATTAGTTAGAGTTTGCAGCTCTCTTGCCTCTTGGAAGAGGTCATGGATATCTATTATATTCATACTGATGTCTTCATGTTCCATTGGCAGCCCTCATATGTTGGATGAAGCAGAGAGATCTCTGCATGATGCATTGTGTGTGCTATCTCAAACTGTAAATGACAGCAGAGTATTGCTTGGAGGTGGATGGCCTGAGATGGTGATGGCAAAGGCAGTTGATGAACTGGCCAGGAGGACTCCTGGCAAAAGATCTCATGCCATCGAAGCTTTCTCACGTGCACTTGTGGCCATTCCAACTACTATTGCTGACAATGCTGGTTTGGACAGTGCTGAGATGATTGCTCAACTTCGTGCAGAACACCAAAGAGAGGAAAGCTCTGCCGGGATTGATGTCATCTCTGGATCGGTGAGTATGCTGTTGAATGATATAAATTCACTTTTACCTCCTGCTATTTGTCTTGGTTGCTTTTCCTGAGTGTCTGTTCTGGATACTTGCAACAAGTTTAGTAATCCGGTATACCTGTATAAGGCCCCGTTTGGTAGGGATTTTTTGTCCCAAAAAATTGATTTTTTGACCGTTATTTTACTATTCAAGCCATAATTTTTTACTTCTTCTCTCACATGTGGACCTCACTTTTCTTCTAACGGTCAAAAAATCAATTATCAAAATACCTACCAAACGGGCCCTAAATGTGGTTTCACTATTCTTGCTTGTAATTTCCATTACGGTCCTCCTGACAGTTGCTGTCTTGTGTAGGTTGGCAATATGGTGGAGCTCGGGATATCTGAGTCATTCAAAGTGAAGCAGGCTGTATTGCTCTCGGCAACTGAAGCTGCTGAAATGATTTTAAGAGTAGATGAAATAATCACTTGTGCCCCTCGACAGAGGGAAGACAGAATTTGAAGAAATGCTTTATTTATAACTGGAACTGAGAAATTTATTGTTATGCTTTGTATTTGTGAAATCTGTCGTGAACCAGATGAATTTGTGATGGTAGAAGAAATCTGCACGAATAGGAATTTTTGAGGAACGTATCTAGAGAGAATTTGATTTGGTTAGACAATGTGTGGTTGGTAAACAAGGATCAATTTTTTAGAAAATCAAATTGGATTTTATCATTTCTGTATCAGCAATTCAAAATAGATGGATAAATGCTCCATATATGTGTCTACCTTTGTGCCACTTTTTCCATGCAATTTGCAACATTTGAAAGGTTGATTTTTATTTTTATTTTTTTCCCCTTCCCTGAACCATTCTGATTCTTAACGTTGAGAAATTTTTGGGGATATTAGAATATTCTGTTCGGTACAATTTGGAACAAGTTTAATTTTTTTTTAATTGATTCTTTTTTAACAAAATATGATCAATGTAAATTTTAATTTCAACTAAAATTGTGGCTCAAACTATTCAATGCACGTACCCCTTTTTAACATCTGTGCAAAACATCAATTTTGACATTCGAAGTGTTGTCAAAATTTGTGTCATTGATTTTTTAGAGTGTTGTGAAGATCGGTGTCTAAAAAAATTTGGGTTATTCTACCTGTATACTTTTTGTGTACATAATAATTTACACCCTATGAAGGGGAGGGGGGGGGGGTCACACATAATAAATTATATGCAAATCTTCCTTCATGTGAGGGGGTGTCAAGCATTAGGTACACAAATGGTGTACATCTATCGTCATCCGAAAAATTTTACCTCACAAAAATGTCAAACTTAATGTAGGTGTAACTTGATTGCTTTTAGCATACACGTCTACGGATTTGTCCCAATAACTACATCCGACGCTAATTGCCATTTCTCCATGTAATCATGTACAGTCAATACTGAAACCCACCTAGACAACCACCCATTAATGTGTACGATGACACCAAATCTCTCTTTTTCCACTAAATCCATCTAACACCTGGTGGGCCTCCTTAATTCGCCTTCTTTACATTTAAAACCAAATCAATCCCAGATTTCAAAAGAACCGAATGAATCCACGAAACAGTCCAAATATTGAATAAACGAGCTGATTTCAAAATTGAAACAAAAGTGAATTCATCAAGCATGAAATCTTGACTTCGGGTTTGAGCTATTTTTGGGTCATTGCTGATTGAATAACCTGCATGTACAAGCAGTTTGCTCGATGGAAAGGGTGCGTTGTCATGACCAGTCTTGACCATTACACCATGGATTTGTGTGGTTTCAGATTCTTTTTTTTTTTTTTTGCACGACTGTACTTAGGTAATCAGCTTTTAAAAAGGTTGAATCCCAACCTTGAGAACTTCACTGTCCCGCTCCTAGAACTTTGTGAAGGAGGTAAATCGCGGGATGTGCCCCATCAGATCAGGAAACAAGAGCTGCCTGTACACTGCGCCTACAAGGAGTCCAAATCCATGTTTTAGGAATCGAACTCCCACACTGCGGCTGTCAGCAAGGCGTGAAATAACCTCACGCTTGTCGTTTGCATCACTAACCTATGCCCCGGGGGCTAAAGTAATCAGCTTTTAATTTTGATCTTCTGAAGAGTATGAAGAATACTGCCAGAGATGAGTTAATGGTTTTATTGATCATGAGCCAGTTAAAGTGATGAAACTGTTTAAAATTCGATTTTTTTTTCTTTTTTTAAATTTTATCTTACAAGCGGTAGATGAATTCTAATGGAAAAGGTGCAGAGAAAAAATTGAGTATTTAATATTTACCATAATAATTATTTTTATTTTATTTTGTAACTTTCTAATAAATCGAATTCAATCACGCTACAATAACTACATTCTACATGAAAGAAACGTCATGTGGCAAAATTTCATTGGACTAAATAAAAAAAAAAAAAAGTCAACAATGTCATCCAATCATTTTTTAACATATCTTTTTATTAACAAAGATGATAAACTCATCTGACAACAAAACTTAATACAACCGAACTTCAGCTGAGCCCGTCCTTCTAAGTTGTCTAGCTAGACAACTGATGTTTTTGATATAGCCCTATTTGGTTTGGTTAAAAATTAAGATTGAAGTTTAAGTTAAAGTCTATAATTAATTCTAATCATATATTTTATGGAATTTACAAATTTTCATCACATATTGTACGGGAAATTTTAAAAAATGGACAATTACACGCTTGTCGAAAAGTGTCTGATTTTGATAACTCTTGTAAAAGTGGCCAAATTTGATATCAAAACATCAAATGGCTGAATTTCATTGGACTAATTAAAAAAAGTCAACAATGTTATCCAATCATTTTTTAACATATCTTCTTCTGTTAACGAAGATGTTAAATCAATTTGACAACAAAACTTAATACAATCGAACTTCAGTTGAGCCCGTCTTTCTATGTTGTCGAGCTAGCCAATGGATGTTTTTGATATAGCCTTATTTGGTTTAGTTAAAAATTAAGATTGAAATCTAAGTTAAAGTTTATAATTAATTTTAATCACATATTTTATGGGAAATTTTAAAAGATGGCCAATTATATGCTTGTCAATTGAAAAGTGTTTGATTTTTATAACTCTTGTAAAAATGGCCAAATTTGATATCAAAATGTCCTTTATACCCCTAATGAAAAATGAAGCAATTCCCTCTTTCTCAATTTCTCATAAATTTCTAGAAAATGAAGTAGTGTAAGCTACGTTTAATGCAAGGTAATACCAAAAGTTTCCTTTCATTATCCATTAGAAAAATTAAATACTTTTAATTCATAAGAAAATCATATAATTTCATTCTAAGAAATTTAATCTCATCCACAATTATTGATAGCAATTAAATTTTCTTTGAAATCTTATTTTTGTTGATAAGTTGTGTTTAATTGTACATGTGATATATATGATGTAAATGGATTAGAATTTTCAAATAATTAGTAGATATTTTTTGTAAGATTATTGGATCATTTTTTAAAATCAAATTCATATTTATTGTTTTGTGTTCCTCAAACGTGGTGTCACAACCTACTTATATAACTTTGATAGATAGATTTGAACTGGTAGTCATGTATTGACAATGCCATTAATGATGGAATAATTTTTTGTAAAAATGGTGGTTGAAGTTGAAGAAAATAATAAATGCATATGGTGAAGTATTTGATCGACATACCGTTCTCGACATTTTATAAATGTCAAGAATGACACTTCAAATGTAATTCTCAAATGTCGAGAACTATGTTACAAATTTAGCAAAGCTACGGAACATTATGTATTTACCATCGACCATATTATGTTTACCATTCTTTGCAAAACTAGGTTCGCTTGGCTCACTTTCGTTTCCCAAATCAGGAAATCGAATTGGATGAACACTCACACGATGGTGGCGATTCCCGATTGAGGAACGTAGGGAACAACAACATGCATTTGTTCATCATCTTCCAAGTCGATGATGATCCGATTGTCCATCGAAGACCTGGGCGGGGAGAGGTACATAGCAACATCAATATATGAGGAGTTTCTTCGGTTGAAAAAGGCATAATTGAAAGAAGAAGTTCTTACTGTTAGGAATTTCTTATAAGGAATTGTGTTTGAACATTGTATTTGAAGCCATAACCATGCTTATATAAAGGAGTAAAGTATGGTGTAATTGCATTACAAGACTCAACACCAATACGTACTCCATGTAATTGCAATTGATTGACATTTGTTTGACAACATAGATTTTAGACCTTATGCTTGTTATCTGAATAGTGATGTTGTATCTGTTACCAACATGCTTGTAAAGTCAACATAATACTGTATTAATCATGAGAGCTTTTTGTTAATGACGATGGATTTATTGATTGAAATCATATTGAGGCTTGTATGTCCAATAAGTTTATTTTAACTCTTTTTTTAAAATCTAATTGTTATTTTACCTGTCCGTCAATTGGTTTGATTTTGTCCTCGTCATTTCATGACTTTCTCATCATTTGAAAAGTTGATACCGACATTTGGACCATGTTTATGATTATCTCAACACTTGACAGTTCATTTATCTACAACGAAATTTCATTCCGGTTCAGAGAGTTCTATAGATTTCAGAGAGTTCTTAATATAACGAGTGTTGCTCTTGACATTAAATACCGGTTATTCTTGACAATTGAAATTTCAACTATCAAGAACGACAATTCGTGAATGTGTACACAATGTAAGACCTGAACAACATGTCACTACTGAAATAAAATGCCGTTGTCTCCATTTCAATTTTACATTGAAACTCAAAACTATACCATCATCCAAAATTTTGCCTAATGATGGTACACAAAATGACATTGCAAATATTTTTCCAAACACACAATGATGTTCTCCAACATTCCTACATATCTCTTACCCTTTTACGATTGGACAGGAGTCCTCGTGCTAGCACTGGGTATCTTCACCCTCATTGATCGAGATCGGCATGGCGATGGAGCATTGACATTTGGAAGTCATCTACAAATAAAAGAAACAAACAATATGAGAACCTACTAATTAAATAAAATGACCTAAGAAATATATGAAATCCTTAATCATCGAAAATGCTTGCTGTCAAATCAAATATATACCCATAAATTGATACTTATAGATTCAACAAAATGTAAGAATTCAAAATTCTTACTATTTATAAAACCCTATTAAGAAGACACGAAACCTATTGAACATATTATTGTAGTAACGAATTAGTTCCTATTACAAAAGCAAATTACAAGCTTACCGCATTAACAATTAGAATTATACATATCCCGACATAGCAATAGTTTGTTATGCTATCCATTTTTAAGATAGTAAATACAATACAACAAAGATAAAAACTCCGCAAACTTTTAATGTCCAATGCTTCGTATTTTCCCTCAAGTATTATGCTATTCATTTTTAAGATATTAAATACAATACACGAAAGATAAAAGTATTCATAGAATAAGATATTCCAATCTTGAATACATTAAGAAAGTTATGAAATTGTAAAAATAAATTTCACATTTGAAACCCTTCAAAACTATGAGTTCCTAAGATGATATTAATTTGCATGGATTTTAATGTTGTACAGATTTTAGTGACTTTGAAGGAGTATTCTCCATCCAATCAATATGAATTTGAAGAATATGTTCTTTTAATTTAAGGATATACTCCATGTCTCCATCCAACAAGTTACATATAAAGCTTTACTTTTTTCATTTTGAAGCTCTAGAGGATTACATCCATGCATCTAGATCAATAATTATATAATTATAGATATCGCTATAAACTCCATATAAAGGAATAACGAGCAAATATTTAGGATCTCCACTTCTCAACCTAGTAACAATTAATTAAATAATGTAATCAACACTAGCTAACACCAGCTCCCAATACTTGATTAAATCCAATTTGATTACTGATAATAGCATTATTCTATTATTTAATTAATAGCACAATATTTAGATCATAAATCGAAATATCATGGAGCTAAAATCGTTAGAACAACATAAAAACATTCCTTGGATTATCAAATAGATCGTTCATGATACATACACTCCGTTCCTACAGTACATGTGCAAGTCCCCTTTAAGCATTATTTTCGAATTACCACAGAACTCAAGCAAATGAAACCATGATTTTATTCATTTTTATTGAGCTCCACACATGTAACAACATCAATGATATTCAGTAACAATGCAGCACTTCGAGACATTTAAATGGTCAAATCAATCAATTTTAACAAAATTAGTTAGTCCACGATATTTCCTGCACAAGTAAATCGTGCTTAGTCGACATAGTTCAAGAAACGAATAAGCTATCTATTCAATCAAATAACAAACAAATACACGTTTGCCAACTACCCATATATAAATTAATCAAGTATTGCACAAAATTATATTCAATAAAATAATCAACTAAGGAGCAATGCCAACCTAGATCGATTAACCCCTATGACCAATATCCATAGGTCCAAAGAAAAATCAAAGAAAATGAACTTTTCAAAATTTTAAGACTCCATTTTTAGCATTAAAATTTGAGGAATGGAAAATCTTCCACATAATTCTAATTTGAAGATATTTTACCTATTCTTTTTACTTGATATCCAAGACAATCTAGAGAGGAAGAAATATAAAGTAACTCAACCTTAAAAAACAAAGTTAACAAGGAGAAATAAGTAAAAATCTGATTGAGAGAGAAGAAGAGGAAACTAAGGCAACAAAGTGGTGATTGACGATCGATGATGGAAATTCTGACAATTGGAGCAGTAACGGGCAATGATGAGATGAAAGAAATTTTTAGGGTTACAAGAGAAAGTGAATGCGAGGAAGTGGATGAGTGTGGGAGAGTGCTATGGTTTTTGAATCATTTGGGTTGGGTTGGGTTGGGTTGGGTAGGGTAGACTTTCATGGGTAAAATTAGTATTTAATATGAATTGACATTTGTATTTTTGGAAATAAGTAGTATAGATTATGTGTTAAAATTTCATTGGTCAATACTTCTTTAATTATGAATAAATTTTTGTGTTCAATGTGGAATTAGAAATTACTAACAAGGGTATTTTGGTCTAAAAAATCGTAAAATGGACATTGGGTAAATTTTGAACATTTTTAGAAATGACCATGTGAAATTAGACATTTCTTGCAATTTCCTCCATATTATTTTAGCTACTTTTAATCTTCCATCAACTAAACGTCTAAACCAAATGTTTCGGGGGCCTCTCGGCCTGATGTATATTGAGAGGTTGTTTTAATATTTTCTTGAAATCGGACATAAGGCTACAATTCACTAGTGCCGGACTAAGAGGGCCTCTTTGACAAAATTCCTTAATAGAAGTCCATTGCGCCAAACAGTTCACCAGACTAGTAACCCACCGCCCATGGCGAATTGAAAGGGGAGCCAAATTTCTATTCAGAATGGCCGACAAAGATGCTTATGTTAACGATGGGGGTCACAAGGTGCAAGTTAGCCCCGCCTCCGCCAGTATCGAGGATGACCTGAAACTCATTCGGGACGCTGCCCGTTCGCTGCCGCCAGAGGCCTTGAAAGACTTATTGTCCAACGGAGTTCGTTCTGTTCTCGCTTTCACTCTTTTTTCGTGGTTTAGTTATTTTTACTGTTAATATAGATAGACAGAATTACTGGTTTTACTATCTTATTAATTGATATTTTTGATTTTGGTCCATTCTTTTAGTAAAGCTTGGAACTTTACATTTTTAGACACCAGCTATTGATTAAACTGAGGGCTAGTTCTGTTGGAAATGGTGGGTCTATTGGTCAACTTTGACCACAATTTTAAGTGGGACCCGATGTTCGATGTATCAAGATTAATGTTCAATTAAATTCTACGTTCCGAGTAGATGAGTGTAGAATATTTAATTGTGAAAAATCATTTCAATATGAATGAGAAATTATGGTTGAAAGTTAGATAATAAATAAGAGGATAAATGGGAAAGAATTGGAAAAATGTTCCAATCCCACATAAGTTGCAAACACAACCTTGAACCACTTAATAAGCTTCAAGTTTGGAAATGAGTTTGGGCCCCAAGGGGTACCAATAGTCTTTGAAAGGGGGGAGTCTTAGACAATGTCTAGACTAGTCCAAAGGCCACACGCACGCCCGCGCGCCGCCGTCCGTCCAACCGGCCGGCCGGGTCGGGTGTGGGCCTGGGTCTGGGTTAAAATTAATTCAATTTTATTTATTTATTTTCGGTTTAAAAAAAAATTGAATTTAATTTTTTCCCTCCCTTTGACATTTACTAACCGACCTATCAGTTCGAAAAAACTGTGCATTAAGTGGCGTGAGGGAAACTGCCCAAAACCGTCAACTTTCTTCCTCTATTTGAATAGTCCTCATACAACACAAAGAATACACACAAAAAATTTCCTACATACATACATCATACATCTCTTCTTCTTTGCATCAGTCTGCAGAGAGTATTTTCATTCGTTCTGGTTCGTTGTCTTGCAGTCGAAGTGCTACTTCTGCAAGTGTGATCGTTGTATCTTGGGAGACGCTTTACCACATACCGTAAGTACCGTGTGACGGGGTAAAAAAGTCTTAAGGACAGAGAGCCTAGTTCTCGCCTCGATCATCCTCTTTCTGGACTTCTTTCTTTTCATAATTTTTCGAACATAATATTCTACTTTACTGTTTCTACAAGTCATTTTCTGCTTTACTGTTTCTGCAAATCATTTTCTGCTTTACTGTTTCTGCAAATCATTCATGGAAAATCTGTTTCATACAAACTTTTAAAATTTTAACCAACAATCTTAAGACGTTTTTTGTTTTGTATAAACTATTTTCCATAAACTGTACTTGTGTATGTAAAGTTAATATTCTGCAGAATTTTAATTTATAAATTCTGACTGGTTGATCTTCTGTTATGAAAACAGAAATGGCTAACACTGTTGGGACCAATGCAATTCCCCCTGCTGTGACTGTAACGCCAACTGTGGCTACTGTAATGCCGACGATGTCTGGTCCTTCTGGTTCAACTCATGTTCCTCACGGAGAGAAACCTGAAAAATTTAATGGTGTCGATTTTAAGAGATGGCAGCAGAAAATGCTGTTCTATCTCACCACTTTGAACCTGGCAAAGTTTCTCACGGAGGATCCTCCTACTGTTCAACAAGGAGAAAATAATCGAGCTTCGATTATTGCCTTGGACGCATGGAAACATTCTGATTTCTTATGCAAAAATTATGTACTGAATGGATTGAATGATTCGCTATATGGTGTTTATAGCATAATGAAAACTGTAAAAGAACCATAGGAATCTTTAGAGAAAAAATATAAAACTGAAGATGCTGGCTCTAAAAAATTTCTTGTTGGAAAATTTTTGGAATATAAAATGATTGACTCTAAATCTGTTATTTCCCAAATTCAAGAATTGCAGGTACTCCTTCATGATTTACATGCTGAAAAAGTAACTGTAAGTGAGTCATTCCAAGTAGCAGCAGTAATTGAAAAACTCCCGCCTTCATGGAGAGATTTCAAAAATTACCTCAAACATAAACGTAAGGAAATGAACATGGAGGAGTTGATTGTGCATTTGAGGATCGAAGAAGATACTAAGAAATCTGAAAGGAGGAACGGGGGACCAAGCATGGAAGCTAAGGCAAACATTGTGGAATCAAGTTCAAAGAAGAACATGAAAAGGAAGCACTCAAACTTTGCTCCGAAGAAAAAAGAAAACCTGAAGAACAAGAAGTTCAAAGGGGACTGCTTCAACTGTGGTAAACCTGGACATCGTGCAATTGACTGTCGCAAGCCTAAAAAGCAAAATGACCGTGCACAAGTTGTTGAAACTGAAAATCTGTCTGAAGGTGTTCAAGAAATGCACCTATCTGCTGTAATATCTGAATGTAATAGTGTTGGAAATCCCAGGGAATGGTGGGTGGACACTGGTGCCACTCGCCACATTTGTGCTGAAAAGAATGTGTTTTCTGATTACAAAACTATCAGTGGAGAACAGCTGTTCATGGGAAATTCCTCAAGTTCAAAGGTTGAAGGATAAGGAAAGGTGACCTTGAAGATGACATCTGGCAAGGAACTCGTCCTCAACAATGTGTTGCATGTGCCAGACATTCGGAAAAATCTTGTTTCTGGTTCTCTCCTTAGCAAGAATGGGTTTAAGTTAGTATTTGTATCTGACAAATTTGTACTAACTAAAAATGGGATGTACGTTGAAAAATGTTACATGTCCGATGGGATGTTCAAGATGAACGTCCTTACTATTGTACCTAAATTGAACAAGATGAATGAAGCTTCTACTTCTGCGTATATTGTTGATTCTTCTTGTTTATGGCATAAAAGATTAGGACACGCAAACTTTAAATCTGTTCGCAAATTAATGAAGTTAAATTTGCTACCTTCTCTGAGTTTCGATCCTAATCACAAATGTGAAACTTGTGTTGAGGCTAAATTAGCCAAAAGACCATTTCTTTCAGTTGATAGAAATACCTTACCTTTAGAATTAATTCACAGCGATATATGTGATTTGAAATTCGTACAAACTAAAGGTGGGAAAAAGTACTTCATCACTTTCATTGACGATTGCACTCGATACTGTTATGTTTATCTATTAAAAAGCAAAGACGAGGCTTTGGAAATGTTTAAACATTTTAAGAATGAAGTTGAAAATCAACTTAGCAAAACAATAAAAATTATTCGAAGTGATAGAGGTGGAGAATATGGAGCGCCGTTTGAAGAATTTTGTTCTCAACAAGGCATCATTCATCAAACAACGGCTCCTTACTCACCTCAATCCAATGGTATTGCGGAACGAAAGAACCGCACACTTAAGGAAATGATGAATGCTATGTTGATTAGTTCTGGCCTACCACAGAATTTGTGGGGGGAGGCTATCCTCTCGGCAAATCACATTCTTAATAAAATACCACACAAAGTAAAGGATGAAACACCTTACGAGTTATGGAAAGGTCATAAACCTTCATATAAATACTTGAAAGTGTGGGGGTGTTTAGCAAAGGTAGAAGTGTCAAAAACCTAAACAAATAAAAATAGGACCAAAAACTGTAGATTGCATATTTATTGGATATGCTCATAACAGTAGTGCATATCGCTTTCTTGTGCATAAATCCGAGATTACGGATATACATGAAGATACAATAATTGAATCAAGGAATGCAAGTTTCTTTGAAGATGTCTTTCCTCGTAAAGACAAAAATGATGTAAGTTCAATGAAAAGAACTTACGATACTGCAAATGATGATGAAAATGAAGAAGAACTCAGACGCAGTAAAAGGGATAGGAAGTCTACGTCCTTCGGTTCAGAATTTATAATGTACATGATCGAAAATGAACCAAAGACATTCAGTGAAGCAATGTCAACATCAGAGGCTCCCTTTTGGAAAGAAGCTATCAATAGTGAAATTGAATCGATAATGCAAAATCATACTTGGGAGTTGGTTGATCTCCCACCTGGAAATAAACCTCTAGGTTGCAAGTGGATTTTCAAGAAAAAGTTAAAATCGGATGGATCTATTGATAAATACAAAACTCATTTGGTAGCAAAAGGATATAGACAAAAGGAAGGTCTTGATTTCTTTGATACTTACTCACCAGTAACGAGGATTACTTCGATAAGAATCCTTATTGCAATTGCTGCGCTATATAATCTCGAAATTCATCAAATGGATGTTAAAACAGCTTTTCTAAATGATGAGTTAGAAGAGGAAATATACATGGAGCAACCTGAAGGATTTTTCGCTCATGGATAAGAGAAAAAGGTTTGCAGACTCGTTAAATCTTTATATGGACTAAAACAAGCTCCAAAGCAGTGGCACCAAAAGTTTGACAAAACAATGCTGTCAAATGGTTTTAAAATTAACGAGTGTGATAAATGTGTGTATAATAAGAGTACACCGACAGCATATGTCTTAGTATGTCTATATGTGGATGATATGCTAATTCTGGGTAGCAATCATGATATCATTGTCTCCACTAAGAAAATGCTAACAAAACATTTTGACATGAAGGACATGGGTGTAGCAGATGTAATTCTTGGAATTAAAATTTCTAAAACACCAGATGGCCTCGTTCTTTCACAATCTCATTATGTTGAGTCTGTGCTAAAGAGATTTGGAGTCTTTGATGAAAGTCCAGTCAAAACTCCAGTAGACACAAGTCTACACTTAGCAAAAAATAGAAGTGAACCTGTACATCAATTAAGATATTCTCAGGTTATCGGAAGTCTGATGTACTTAATGAACTGCACACGTCCTGACATTGCATTCACAGTTAATAAATTGAGTAGGTTCACATGTAATCCAAGCAATGATCACTGGAAGGCATTGAATAGGGTACTTCGATACTTAAAACATACCTTAAAATTTGGATTACATTATATGAGATATCCAGCAGTATTAGAAGGATATTGTGATGCAAATTGGATATCTGATATGAAAGATTCCAAATCCACAAGTGGTTATATATTTACACTTGGTGGTGCGGCAGTATCTTGGAAATCCTCAAAGCAAACCTGCATAGCTCGATCAATAATGGAATCGGAGTTTATTGCATTAGATAAAGTTGGAGAAGAAGCAGAATGGTTACGTAACTTCTTAGAGGATATCCCGTGTTAGCCTAAGCCGGTGCCTGCAATTAGTATTCACTGTGACAATCAGTCTGCTATTGCAAGGGCACAAAATTGCATGTATAATGGTAAGTCTAGACATATACGTCGTAGACACAATACCATAAAGCAGTTGATCTCAAATGGTATTATTTCCATTGATTATGTGAAATTAAAGGAGAATCTGGCAGATCCGCTCACAAAAGGTCTACCAAGAGATCAAGTATATTATCTATCAAAGGGAATGGGATTAAAGCCAAACACGCATGAATCTTAATGATGGTAACCCAACCTTGTTGACTGGAGATCCCAAGATCTTGGTTCAATGGGACAACTAAGTTATTAAGACTCAGTTAAGCACTTAACCATCCCTTTATAAAAAGTGCTGTCTACAGAAAGTAAAAGGATAAGTTGTAACTTTTAATGATTCCTATAGCTTGGATAAATCAAGTGGGGTATAGCAGAATACTCTTAATAGGAGATCACTTATATAAGGGTGAAGTGGGGCCGCTTCTATGAAAATTTGGGGCTTGAAATTCTCTAAAGCACTTATGAATCCCAAGAATCGTTCAGGGCCAAAATGAACACAACTATGAGAACCTAAGAATTGTATAGAAAGGTTATTGTGTGGATACTGTTGCCTTGGTTTACACCAACGGCTGAACAGTTCAAGACATCAGTTCACTGATTAGCCAAGTAAACTCGATAGTATTCCACTAAGGCAGGTTCAAGGCCAAAAGCTACCTCTCCTGATGCAATAATTCTTTCGCCTGTACTCTCTGTTCGTGTCTGCATTGCATAGTCATGATAATTTCCATTCATGTGGGGGATTGTTGGAAATGGTGGGTCTATTGGGTCAACTTTGACCACAATTTTAAGTGGGACCCGATGTTCGATGTATCAAGATTAATGTTCAATTAAATTCTACGTTCCGAGTAGATGAGTGTAGAATATTTAATTGTGAAAAACCATTTCAATATGAATGAGAAATTATGGTTGAAAGTTGGATAATAAATAAGAGGATAAATGGGAAAGAATTGGAAAAATGTTCCAATCCCACATAGGTTGCAAACACAACCTTGAACCACTTAATAAGCTTCAAGTTTGGAAATGGGTTTGGGCCCCAAAGGGTACCAATAGTCTTTGAAAGGGGGGAGTTTTAGACAATGTCTAGACTAGTCCAAAGGCCACACGCACGCGCGCGCGCCGCCGTCCGTCGGACCGGCCGGGTCGGGTCGGGTGTGGGCCTGGGTCTGGGTTAAAATTAATTCAATTTTTTTTATTTATTTTCGGTTTAAAAAAAAATTGAATTTAATTTTTTCCCTCCCTTTGACAGTTTACTAACCGACCCATCAGTTCGAAGAAACTGTGCATTAAGTGGCGTGAGGAAAACTGCCCAAAACCGTCAACTTTCTTCCTCTATTTGAATAGTCCTCATACAACACAAAGAATACACACGAAAAATTTCCTGCATACATACATCATACATCTCTTCTTCCTTGCATCAGTCTGCAGAGAATATTTTCATTCGTTCTGATTCGTTGTCTTGCAGTCGAAGTGCTGCTTCTGCAAGTGTGATCGTTGTATCTTGGGAGACGCTTTACCACATACCGTAAGCACCGTGTAACGGGGTAAAAACGTCTTAAGGACAGAGAGCCTAGTTCTCGCCTCGATCATCCTCTTTCCGAATTCTGGATTTCTTTTTTTTCATAATTTTTCGAACATAATATTCTACTTTACTGTTTCTACAAGTCATTTTCTGCTTTACTGTTTCTGCAAATCATTTTCTGCTTTACTGTTTCTGCAAATCATTCATGGAAAATCTGTTTCATACAAACTTTTAAAATTTTAACCAACAAGTTCAAAATTTATCAGTTGATCATATAGATGTTGTTATATTATGTGATTCTATCTAAAATAACAGCTTAATCGATAGAGCTCTTACATGAATTATATACCAATGTAGGTATGTGGGCGATGCATCTTCTGGCTATTCAGTATTCACCGGCACATCCTTCATTGTCCTTCGATTTCCAGCTCGGTTCTGAGTGCAATTCTTCGGGAATCAGCAGAAACCGAGGGAGATGTAGCCGATCATCCAAATAATCTGAATTCTGTTGAAGAATTCGAGGAAGTTGAAGTTTGTAAAAACTGTCTCGGCATCATGCAGTTTGTCTACCGCGATGCCAAGGAAATGTTGGCAAAAAAAGCTTCTGCTATCGATTTTGCCACAACAATTGCCGATGTTGTAAAGCTAGAGTGCCATCAAATTGAAAATTTCTCTCTTGAACTGTCACTGCCCTCAATTATTGTGGATAATGAAGAAGCAATTTGGTTAGTAGTTCTCTTTATAGGATTAGTGATTTTGAATTTGTTTATGATCGGGATGCCAAATGCATTAATCTTACTTGTAGTTTAATCTATATACATGTACTTATAACTAATGTGTCCTTATCCTTTAAGATTTTATGGATACGAGTAAGTAAGTCGAGTAACTTACGGAAGTTTTTCCTTTTGTTCATTTCAGGTTGTATATGAAAAAGACATACGAGTCCAAACCCTGGTACCGTGAAAAGTTTCCATCTCGAAGCATCACCATTAAAGAATTTTTAAGATTGTCCCTGACACATCCTCTTGAAATTTTGTTGGTAATTTTGAACACACTTCTCAATTTCAGTGCCACTGTTTTGGACTGCCTAATTTTGTTCGAACTCTGAACATATCATGATTCTATTGTGTCTTTCTTGCTTCACTGGGCCTTTATTAGACGAGATATTCTTAGAAACTGATGTCTGGCACTATAAGTTATAAATTTTAGGCAGGTGATTGGAATGAATGCTAATAGTCTAAAATTTTTTGGTTAAGGCCACCAATAGGGAGGACTGACTGTTCAAAATATTTGAGATGTTGCAGGATGTGAAATCTAATCCAAGCTCTTTCCATATTCGTTTGACGTACAAACTCTCTGATGCATCACAAAATGGGCAGCTTATTAGCAAGGGGAATGAATGCAATAAGAGAAGAAAAATAGGCATGTTCATTTGTTACTCTCACACTTTATTTCTAATGAGGAGTCACATCTTTAATTCATAGATTTGAACTTTATATTGTACAAGCTGAAGGTTTAAGCAATCTTAATTGAATCTTGTAGAAATAGAATTTTCTTAAAGAAAAAAATATATCTGAGTAAGCAGTAGATTTGTGAGGACATGGGAGTAAATCGGGCATTTTATTCTGTGCCTATGTCTGACATTGTTAAAATGGATTGGTTTCGTGTATTTCTACCATGTTAGTGTGATCTAAAAATGTTTCTTATGATGATTATCAAAGTTCATTTTGTGCATTAGTTAAACTTTGTATAGCATACTCTTTCGATGTCTGAAATTCCTGAATTTTTAGAGTGGATAGCATTTTTATCCATAAATCAGTTAGCAAGATCTTAGACGTGTGCTAAATTTTTGTTTCTTGTTTTCTTTTATATCTTTCAGCTGTATGGTGCTTGGAATGGGTAAATAATAATGTTCCCACAGAAAGATGATGTGTATTATATGATAATCCCATTGCAAGTGAGACAGTAATATGTACAATATGGTAGAATGGTCATACCTTTGTCGATGTGCCTTTTGGATGGATGGAATCAACATTTGGAACATCTAAATTTGCATTGAAATTATTATTCCTTTATCCTCATCGATGAATTCTTTTGGCTCTTTTATTCTAGTGGTCTCAACCACCAAAGACAAATATTTCAAATAAAAGTTATGGTCAAGATTTTTTCATTCTCAATTGGTGGTCTGACACGAAGTTTTGATTGGAACAGATGACAATGATGACTTGAAGAAGCATGCTAATGTTCATAAAGTTGAAGAACATGAAGAACGTAAAAATTCTTCAAATGAGTTGGGTGATCACAAGCTTGGTTGCTTAACATTCTCTCTGGAGAAGGTATATTGCTGTGCTGATGTCATTCGAGTAAAGCTTATCAGACTCATGATGTCTTGCATCTTTCATTATGCAGTCATGTAGCCAAACTTGTTTATAATAAGGAGCTTCATAACATAATATTCATACGATTGCTGTGAATTTTGATGCTTTTAGGTCAGTCGATGCTGCTCCTTGATCATCCAGTGCTACAGAAATTCTATCTACATTGGTGGGAGATATCTTAAGGTACAATAGTTATAATATGAGGATTCTTAAACAAGATTTACATTGATAATCTTAACTAGGCTACTTCATTTTCTGTTACTGTTGACCTGTGTACCATAACCGTTTATTGTCTTGGACGACAGTTTATCTGCTATTCAGATTCTTTAATTTCCTACTACATTTTACGTTGATCCATAATCGTTCACCATCCTGGAAGACAGTTGATCTGCTATTCAGATTCTGTGATTTCCCACCAACTCCATGTAACAATGAACCAATTGTTAGCATGTAATGGAATTATGTGTTGGCAGGGTCACAAAACCAAAATGCAAATGGCACATCGTGTAAGAAAGAGAAATTGGCCACTAAGGTCTGAAAATATGCTCTCTGCATGAGGAAAATTAATTATCTATAATATTCATTTCAAGAAATTTTCCTTTTTAATTCTTCAACCAATCTCTTTCTTGAATATGTTGATAGAAGGCAGAACCAACTGCAGCTGTTTCAGATCTTGTGGTGCAATGTACTGCCATTGTATAACCCTAAAATCATGCAATTACTTTTTTCCAATGCAGTACTCGAGAAAAGTCAGCCAGACACGTTGGATTATTGATGATGAAAGGATGGGAGAAGCATCTGTCGAGGTAAAGAAATTCTTGAGAGTGCAGTTTTTATTTTCTGGATGAAAACATATGATATTGTTGACTGTGTATCGTGCTAAACATTTTCAGGAAATTGTTGGAGGCACCATCCTTCCCATATGCCAGGGTGACAGTTATAAATTTCATGCTGCAGGCAGAGAGGATATTGATGTATAGAAACTTTGGCATCTTAAGTACTCTTAGTTGGATGAACCACCCCATTCTAATTTGGAAATCTCTCTCTATAGGTTCGGATGCTGGGTACTGGGCGGCCTTTTCTGGTTGAGATCCAAAATGCACGCCAAGTTCTTTCCGAGGCGCTAATAAAAGATATAGAAACAAAAATAAATAGCACAGAAACCAAATATGTGAGTCAGTTTTAAATTCACGTCTTTGTTACAATTTTATATTCAGAGTAGGTTGTAATGAATGTTCTGTGCATTTCTGGTGCAGGTTAGGGTAAAGAATCTCAAGGAATCTGGTAGTCAGGGGTGGGCACTGATGCACGAAGGAGAAGCAGAGAAGCAGGTAAACTTCTTCTTTTAATTGTATTGTTTTGCAGCTAGATCTTAATCTGCAATTACATTTCGAATACAACCATCTCGTGCAGAAGCAGTACGTTGCAGTTGTTTGGATTTCTCGTCCACTTGATGACAATGATGTGGAGACAGTA